GTGCAGATAGAATGGCTGCGTCAAGGAATGTCCAATTCGCCAATGCAAACTGGGAATGAGAGCAACACGGTCAAAATTCGAGCATGGCGCAAGAAGGCTGCGCAACGTACGAGGCCGCCGGCGAGGTAAATGCCAATGGCGTGCTTGTGCTTTCCTAGATTGAGGGCTGGAAATGGGTTTAAACAGACCCGTCGAGGGTCGTAGTTGGATCTAGGAAGAGACATTGTATCGTGGTCGTCGCCGCCAACGTCCAGTGGTCGATGAGAGGAGCCTGAGCGTGCGAGCCTCTGACCTGCGCACGCCAGCGCTAATGCGTGCCTCATCGCCTCATTGAACTCTCCAAGTTTAAATCGACATCGAGCCGAACATCCTGGTCTTGTACACTCTGGAATTCAACTACTTCATGATCTCAGGCAATTTGAAGATCCTCGAATCGATTTGCGTCAATCGGAGCATCGCAGCATATGCCAGGACTCCCTCTTGCGGCTTTCTGTCATATCCACTAAATGAGTAGAAAGCGTTCCACGACCCGAGTCATTCCTATGCAAAGTCTCGATTGAGAACGCCTCTGCGTTCTGCTGTACCCCTTTTTATCCTCGCCATGCAGCTCTGGATAAGAGCCACCGGAGCTGCAATTCCCTTGCAGCAGACAAGCGCCTTCATGAGAAACGGGTCGCCGTATGTAGCACCCAAGCATGCTTGCTGTCGGGCGAATTTACAGAACAGCCATTCTGATGCACATAAATTGCATCTCATGACCTCGACGCTATATCTACCTTGACTCCGCTCCAGTAGTTCTGGCCATGGATTTCGCTGTGAAGGCAGCCATAAGTGCCGTGTCCTCCCTACACCCAGCTCTAGGCGTCCTACAAAATGCTTACGATTATTACAAGGATGTCAAGTACTCGAAGGAGAAGTGCAAGTCCCTGTTGGGCCGTGCAGAACGGACTTTACACACGATCAGCCAGGCAATACCGGAGAATCGCTGTGATTCCAGTGCGGGCAATCTCGAACGTTTGCAAAGGCAAATCCACCTAAACTGCTCCCAAGTGGCAGCATCTGACATAGGCTGTGCTAGAAACATGGAATATGTCCGAGATGTGATGTCTACGCAGTGCAAGACGCCCTTCCTAAAGGCTATCCTTCGACAAGATGACATCGAGAACGCGCTTGACGAGTGTAACCAATCGCTCGATGATTGCTTGAGCTCCTTCCAGGTCAGATGTGCACAGTACAAGTTGTAGTTGTACTGACATGACGTAGATCTCCGCACATGCCATCGTGATTCAACATCAAGACGAATACGAGGAGGCGCGTCGGAAGGACGCACTTGAGATCAAGGATATCTGCCTTCGGATCCTCGAGAAGCAGGATGATCGAGCCATGCTGCGCGCTCTGGAGGTCAAGGATGATCACGCAGACGAGGCAATGTTGGCCATGCAGCGAGTATGTCCGTTTCCAGCACTCAGATGTTTGTGCTGTACTAATGGCATGTCATGATAGGAGCTTCACCAGAGCTCCAAGGAAGGACCAGAACGAAGGTTCATAGAACAAGGTCTCATCTGCCTCCAAAGGTCCACTGGGAGGCTAGCTCCTACGAACTCCCCTCGCTGGACCATCACTGCGTACGACATTGACATTGATCCTGAGGCGGAGTTGGGAGGTGGCGGGTTTGGGGTAGTTGTTCGAGGGGAATGGCGAGGGCTCGCAGTCGCTGTCAAGCGGATGAAGAACAATAAAAAAGAGGTGCGATCCTCTGTAATATGCGCTGGCACCACTAGGCTAAGTTGGTTCGTCATACCAGGACCTCATGCGAGAAGTGGAGACATGGTACACTTTACACCACGATCACATTGTTCCTTGTTATGGTGCATCGATCACGGCAGACCCACCTTTCATAGTCCTGCGCTACATGCAGCACGGTCATCTACTCCAATACCTGGACTCGTTCTCGGATGGTAACCGAGCTAGACTGGTCAGCGGATCTCACGTCGCTGATCCTGTTCCGATCCGTCTCATCGCCTTGTTTTATCTAGCTGTACGAGGTGTCTCTTGGCATTCGCTACCTTCACGATGAGAAAATCATACATGGAGACATCAAAGCAGTATGTCCGCGTTGATTATGGATATAGGCGCGTTGGATCTTGATGCCACATTTGAGGTCAATGTCCTCGTCGATGATGGCGGCAAAGCATGCGTCACGGACTTTGGTCTCTCAATCAGGTATCGCAAGGAACAGAGCGCTCAGACATCAGGTCCCACCACTGGAACATTGAGGTTTATGGCGCCCGAGGCAATTGAGACTGGACATCTGTCATATGCTACGGATGTTTACGCGTTTGGCATGCTTATTTACGAGGTGAGTTAGGCTGTCGTTGTGTCTTCTGCTCCTCGATGACGCCGTGCTCGACGTTGGCAGAGCTTCACACATCGACCTCCGTTCCTCACGGAATCAGATGACGATGTCAGAGCTGGTTGCGTGACGCTCGAACGTCCTACCGCGCAAGAGATCGTCGACAGAGGCTTCACAGATGCGATGTGGAAATTGCTGACAGCTTGCATCTCGCATGACCCTGGCAGTCGACCGACCACGAAGGAAATTTCGTCGAAGCTAATCGCGATGGCGAAGAAGTGGATTCTACCGATGCTACTTAGTCCTTCCGGCTGTACGTCATTTCCCCCTACTTGCAGTGACCCTCGCATTCCTGAACCCAAGTAGCCCTTTCTCCCTCCACTCCTGCGTCACTGCAGATCTCAAGATCTGCGTCCTACACGGACTATGTCAGCAGTTCTGTTCCTGGTGCGGAAAAGCCTCTACCACAGCCAGAGTCCCCCGATACACAACAGAGGGATCTCCCCCCGTGTCGAATGGACTGTTTGATTATCAGGAAACGCGCTACGATCATGTTCACCGACAAAGGGCACCCCGTCGTGGAATCGCACGGAATGAGTGTTCCATGCTATCCGCGCCACGCAACATTCGAGTCGTGAGTGCCGCAACTTACTCACGGCGAGTGACTCCAATGGCCTGACGCTGGTGCAGCGATGGTGCTACCGCATTCTCGGCTTATGTTCAATACGGCCCCTTGGTTGACGAGGAGACTTGGGAGCTCATTGGGCCGTCGATCACCCGTACAGGTGCAAACGTTGATGTGCTGTGGCGCTTCTCAAGCGACAACCTCGCGCAACAATGGTTCAACGCCCTGCGAAACTACGCACGGCCGAAGGGGTTTAGGAAATCAGTCGCAGGCATGTTCCGCCCTCGGGAATCCAAGCGGGTACCCAAACAGACGGTGGAGTGGCGGTATCGCCTTGTCCAATGGCAGAAGGTCGTGGACGGCGACATGATGTATGCATACTGGAACCCTTGGGATAAAGAGCACGTGGTGGTAAGTTGGGTTGCTCGCTTTGTGATAGAACGGTGCTAACCCTCACCAACCAGCCACCCGAGCCAAACTGGAACTACGTTGAAATGTCGTCGGATTGTCGAGAGTTCGATTCGGATTCGGACCCACAATCCTTCTCGTATACCCAGTCTTACGGGAATGCTCCTCCGGTATCCTGGAAGGTATCACTGAACGGCGACGCGATTCGTTGTGAAGGCACAGACTCCCGGAGTGATCACGTGTCGTTAGTCGAGAACAGGCACTTCGATACGGGCGAGAATGCTAGCGGATGGTTTGGGGCATTTAGAATGGCTATACAATCACAAAGGGCTGATACACCGCCACCAATCATTATCGTCGCGCAGCAACCACCACCCCCTATAGTTTCCCCCACTCCGTATAATTCGTCGCCCCGAGTCGTTTGGTCTAGTAGATCCACCCCGTCACCCCCTACTCCAATGCTTCAAGAAAGGCCCTCTCCATCACCCCCGTACGGACCAGTTATCATTCCAGAGAGACCCGAACGGTCACAGTCACCACCATCTTCTCCCATTATCCCGGAAATCCCGTCTATGTCTTACATCAGGAAATCGTCAGAATCATCTTAGCGCCGCTTTTGCTGATTTGGTAGCCCAAAGCAGGAAAAGCGGGAAAATCCCAGTCCAATGGGACTGGACTTTTGTACTTATCTTGCTTTAGGGGCACTTACCGATCAACCAAGACGTAAAAGCGACAAAAATAAAAATGAGATTTTGCTGATGTCCCCGTACTATTCGACCGTTCCTGACAGCTAGAGGCTTCGCCAGCCTGAATTGGCGACCGTTCTCTCTAGTTGATGCTCTTACAATGTACCTTGACGCAATTTCGTTGTCTCTGGGCTTTCTTTCATACCGGACTAAGGAAAAGGAGCCAATTGTGTTGGCAGAGATGCTCGTGTAGAGGGTGATGAGTGCCGCAAGTGTATCCAGGAGACCCGACTTGATTATGAAGCAGACAACTCAGGCAACTGTCTCATTGAGTCCCAGGATCATTCCGATAGATCTATTGGGATTTGGTCTGGATGAGGTAGGTTACAAATAGTGCTATACGGAAGATCAGGTGTCAGCCGTCGACACACGAGAGTTGATCGAAACGACAGACGAACGTGTAGTGACTAGACTCAGCTTCACTGTCGATACCGGCCTAGCACCAGCATATGGCAATGAAACAGGGATTCTGATTCTGGACGACAAATTGTGGAGTCCGCGGCTCACAAACTGCCTCCATAAGTCAGCCCCAGAATTCTAACTTCTAGGGTAGCCCCCCAGGAGTATATCAGGGAAGAACAGTGCGAAGATGTATGTCGTTGTCTCTGAGATGACCACGGTTATCTGGGGTGCACCATTCTGGAAACACGAGGCCTCCCGTGTTATTTCGGAGTGCAAGACGCCACTCAGAAGAAATAAAGTTCATTCATACGAGACATGACAGGGGTGACCGACAAATGCCTCTGAGACTAATGAAAAACAAGTTGGAGGGAAGATGGAGACGGTGAAAATAAGCGGAAACAGCCACAACAGCAATGTATGCAAGTACGATGGACATCCAGGCACGAGTGTCTTGTCATATCAAAAAGGGCTCAACCGGGAATTGAACCCGGGACCTCGCGCAGATTAAGTCCGAGTTACGGACCGGGGACAACCCGAAGCGCGAATCATACTACTAGACCATTGAGCCGATATATTCTACTCTCTTGCAGTACTCTAGGTACCTAACGCCTGTCTTGCGCACATTCCACTGAAGATGAACCCCTCCTGCAATTCCCCGTACGATAGCTTCGACCTGATGGGACGAGGCGTTACCAGAGAGTAGCTGTTAGACCCGTATATGTCCAACCTCTAGCGGCCATATCTCACAGCTGATCACCCTGGCGACACGCAGCCGCATCCCCTAGACGCTCTACGCCTCGCACTGTCACAGTGCCAGACGCCAGACAGCAGCGCCCACGAGGTACGAGACTGCGATCTTTCTGCGTGGCTGCGAGCAGTATCGCGAGATGGCATCGCACGGCACGTATCGTACCTGAGACTTTGAAAGCGCGCGATGGTACCGTCCCTGGGCCCTCAAAGGCGCACGCGGCGTCCGGAGGCGGCGTATGGAGACTGGAGGCGGATCGTGCGAGGTGTGTCACCCACACGTGCGTCCCGGAGTCGAGTCGGGCGGGTGTCATTCGAATATCATCGTGATGTGGCGTCCTGCGTGCGTTTGTCTGTGTGCTGTTTGCGATGGTATGAGATGCGTGATGAGCGTCATGGATGTACGGTGGGTTCGTCGGCGACGTCGCTGGCAGTCAAGGATCGTCGTGAGTACGGATGTATTCAGTGCAAGGAGAGCGACGTGTGGAATCCGGAACAATCAGAAAGGTTCCTGCGGGACGTGCACTTTCAGTGCGCCTGCGTGCCCGCCAGCCACAGCCATAGCCACGGCACTGCCGTCGACAGTTATCATATTCACAGCTCCTGTAGTACATGTGTACGGATGCTGTGCGCTCAATACAACGTCCATCCTTCCATAGTATTCCAGTTATCTGCTTTATACAAGGCCGTAGGTGCTTCTATCCGTTTATTGAGGTAAAAGTACCACAGATGGAACGAACGATCCGCGAGACCCCAGGTGCTATCGAAACCTTGTGCGAGCGGGCAGGAGGAGGTATTGGGGCAGTTTGCGAATTTGCATGATTGAGATCGGGAGAGGTGCGATATCAGATGGGCCTGTTCCGGTGCCGGAGACTTGAATATTTCTGCCGGGCGCTGTGGACGCACCGCTATATGCCCACGTCATGGCGACTCTGGCCGCAAATTCGAGCGTAGAAACGCCGGAGGGGGGCCGTCCATTCTCGAAGAGCATACTGATCAGTGAATGGGACAGAGACATAGCACCCGGCTCCGGAAAGCGATCAGTACGCAGAAGAAGCGGCACAGGATTGCACGAAGGGCCTGCGGGGTGTCCAGGACGACGCAGGAACAAGCATTTGGGGGTTGTTGCGAGGTCCTCAGCCAAGAGCGGAGAGCCAGTCTGCAAAAGTCGCAGTGAAGGCGCATCGAGGGCGCTGACATCACCGGCACCGACCTGTAGGCCAAAGTTCGCAAGGCAACGGCTAGAGAAGTCAATCAGACACAAGCAGTCGTGAGCTCCGCACATCTGAAACGCGTTTCAGCAAGTTCACGCCCTGCTGGACGAATTACGAGCCCGCCCGACGAGAGTTCGCGAGCGACGGAATACAAGACGAGTCCAGGAAGATTCATGGGAGGGTTCAAGATGAACAACGCCTGCCTTTCACAGCGGGGCGCGCGGCTAACTATGCGTCGAGCAATTGCGTAAGGGCGCAATTGAAAGAGCTCGTTCGCGGGCGGGCCGGCTCGACGCGCTGGTTTCGCGGAGTACGGGGGTTACGTATCCTGGAGATGGGTCCTGGCGATGAGGCGAGCGGATCAGAAGTGCATGGCGACGTAGAATGAGCGGAGGCGAGCAGCTCGAGAAAGGGAAGCCTGGGTCCGCGGATGGAGCTTCGAGCAACTTATTCGGACGGAGTTTGCCACTGCGCGAGCTCAGCTGGCCAGACGGCGACGCGTGATGGTGGAGGTGGGGTCGGACCAGTTTCCGATTGGGTTTGCACTGGTGCAAGCGTGATTACGCGCGGAAGTAAATTCAGAGAGGGACGGAAGCAGTCGCCACGTGTGGTCCAGCCGTTGTTTATGCGCTGGCGCACAGGATTTTGACACACCGCCGGAAGGTGGACGCCAGCCGCAGCATTGCAGAGTAGACATGAGATATTTTCGAGCAGGTGATGTCCGAGTAAATGTCTCAATTTGAGCTATATCATGGCGATCATAACAGCAGAACCGCGGGCGAGTCGCCCTGAGTGTATTCGCGTTCGCGGAACATGGGGCAGTCTCGAGCCAGGATGCCGAGCGAGCCGTACGAGACAGTCCCGATACTCAGATGCCCTGCTGGGGCTGCCGGGACACATGGACCGTCCTAGGAACTTGCATGGACGAGAGCCAAAACGAGAGGGTACAAGCTAGTTGCCTTTTTCGTGGACAAGGTGATGACCGCAATAGGACAGGGCCCTCGTTCCGGCAGGCACGGGACCTCTGGCAGCTCTTCGAGAAGGTTGTGCGGGCCGACCCTGGCGCAGCATAGCGGTCCTCGAGAGACTGGAAAGCCTCGGGCACGGACGAGGAGAAGTCGAAGATGCGGAGACGACGAGAGCAGAGGTGCTGGCGATGGTTGTGTCCGGAGGAGATTTTCCTGAGCTGTGCGGAGGTGAAGATGATGATTGCGGACAGGACGAGGCAGGTCCTCGCGCGACGAGGCACACGCGATACCCGTGAGAAATCAGGAATCTGACCAATGAGAAAATGCGAAAATGTGGCGGAGCAGAATCTGCCGAGGATTTGGGAATGGAGGTGTCCGAGGTCCGGGGCTGAGGAGGATAGGCGATGGGAGGATTCTGAGATGGAATCTGTTCGGAGGATGGAGGGTCGTGGGTGTGATGGGCGTTCACCGGTATAAAGACATGGGGGAGAACAATAAGGTTCGCTGTCCAGTCGCCCTCTTATTGTCTCCCAGCTTCGGCAAACGGGCGAGCAATCGACAATCGACACTCATCACAAGTTCACGCTACACGACCTTCTCACCTTCTAGACAATAGACATGCCCGTGGTGCGACATCCTACTCAGCGAAGGAGATCTTCTTTGGCCATCAGTATGTTTTCTCTTCCCAATCGCATTTACAGCGGCCTGACCATCGCACTGCAGACCTTACCCCGATCAAAGCAGGAAACTACGGAATCTCATCGCCATCGCCAGCAGGCGTCACCTTTGCACCAAATGTTACCCCGGGCACGTACGTTGAGCCAGGCCAGGAGGACATGCTAGAGTCCTTCGGCGAGTCGTCGTCGCCCACAAACGCGATCTTCCCGCCTTCAGAGGTACCACCACCTCAACCCACGCGTCGACGGATCCCGCCAGGCAAGCGGCCATCACAAGGCTACATTCCTCGACCCGCGAATGCGTTCATGCTCTTCCGACGCGAGTTCGTGCGACAAAAGCATGTCCCCGGCTCGATCGAGACGAATCACTGCTCGCTCTCAAAGATCATCGGTATGTCCCATGTGGCGTCGCGCTGAACGCTGGCTCTGATCTAGCATCGGACAGGCAATTGCTGGCGTGCGCTGCCGCTAGACGAGAAGCGCATCTGGGAGGTGCGTGCGAAAGAGGAAAAGGCGGCACACCAGAAGAAGCATCCAAACTACAAGTACCGGCCTGTACACAAGAAAAAGAAAGAGAAGGAGGAGGCCGCCGCGAAGCGCAACGAAAAGACCCCGTTTGCCGAGTCCGAGGAGCAGCGCTGCGAGGACGTCGCGCAGCTCCTCCTGCAGGGCAAGAAGGGCGACGAGCTCGCGGCTGCCGTGCGCCAGCTCGACATGCAGCGCGGCGTACACATGCCGCCCGGCGTCCCAGACTTTCCTGACAGCTTCCTCTTCGGCGCGGGCGCCGGCCCCAGCACGCCGCTGCACGCGCCCATCCCGCTCTACGCACACCGCCGTTCGTCGTCCGTGCCGCCGCCCTCGACGCTCTACAACCCGATCACGCTCCCGATGTTGCCGTTCCTCCCCGCGCCGCCGGTGCACGGCGGCTCGCGTCCGCTCACACCAGTGAGCAACATCTCCCGCGCACAGCGCGCGATGCTCGGCCAGCGCCGCGCCTCGAGCGCCCAGCCGGTGCCCTCGCGCTCGTGGATGGTCCCCGCGGACGCGTACGCGCAGCACGTGCCCACCGAGGCGTGGCAGCTCCAGCGCGACTGGTCCCCGCTCCCCGATGTGGATACCTCGCTCTTTGAGCCCACCTTCCTCGACAGCGGTGCGTCCGGCGCCTTCGCGGGCGCGCCCATGGACGGCGCCCAGGGCGGCTTCGTGAGTGTTCCTGCATCCGTGCTTCGCGGGACCCTGATGCTGATGCACGCTATCTCCCTCCCTTGTCTGCTTGTGAATTCCAGAAGTTCGCGGACGCGCAGGTGCCGCCCGAGCTCTCGCTAAGCATCTCGCCGTTCGAGCAGGTGCCCCCGCACGAGCACCCTTCCTCTGTCTCCACCGCGAGCCCGTACACGCCCGGCCCGTTCTACGCGCAGCCCCAGCCGGTCGACCCACTTGCGGGCATGGCCCTCGACGGGAGCTGGTTCTCGCAATCGGGGCCCTCTTCTGCCTTCTCCGGTTCGCCGTCCCCGTCCGAGTCTTCCCTGCCGGCGCCACCTATGCAGATGCCTGAGCCGTACTCGCACCAGCACCAGCAGCACCAACAGCCCATCCAGCAGTACGATGGCTGGGCGCAGGGATTGCAGGACAGCGAACACGCGATGCATGCACTCGGGCTAGACATGTGCGCGCAACCCGCCCCCGCGCTCGACATGCACATGGGCTTCGCGCCCTACGAGCACGCACAAGGTGGCATGTTCTCACAGGGTTACATGCAGGACTACACGCAGGAATACTCGCAAGAATTGGAGGATTACGCGTTCCAGGAGGCGGCTGCGCCCCAGACTGAACTTGCTTACTAGACGTTCCGTAATATACCCCAGACTCTCCGAAATGATCCCCATGATTGTTACCCACCTGTATCTTTACGACTTTGTTCGGGTCTGATCCCCTTTGTAGCGATATCGCCGTGTAACGTAT